GACCTTCGACACATTTTCCACTTCAGTTCGAAAATAACGTGGACGTCGATGTACACCAATATGTAGGCTTTAGAGATCTATGAAAGGGCGTCAGCGGTGCCACCTCGGTACACTGATAATCGTAATTTGTTTTGTGGGTTCCCCGATCTGTTTGCCCGCCATAATGTTAAATCCTTACAACTTATTATATAATTTTACAACTTCATGTTTTGACTACTAGAGAGTCACAATGTCATTGTCATACTCTGAGAGTAGCACGTGTAAGTCGTCTCGTCTGAGACTTTGGGCAGTCTGTGTCTCACTGGAGATGTGGCGGTCGAGTGTGAAGTTTGTGCTCGAGAGTCCTCTGTCACGAGACGTCTGTGACTGCTCTCGCACTTACTTGTCTTTTGTCTCGATGTGTTATGTGGTTTTAGACTTTTCTTGCCTGTAAACTGAATTTAAAATTGAAATACAGTTGTTCGAAGGGTATGGACATAATCCATCAACTTTCGTTAGATATTCAACTTTGATTATAAAAAACAGAAACTTGGATTATCATACGCAAGTGATATGGATTATGTCAATACACTTTAGAACATCTGTACTATGTAAATTAATTCCGTTGCCCAAGTCGCAAGAAGTCTGTGTCTCCTGGATGGTCGGCAGTGTGACAGGTCGTCGCCTCGTGAGAGTCTCTAGTTCATGTGACGTCTGTGACTCTCGTCCTACTTACTTATCTTTTGTCGCGACAATGGTGTGGAGTGTTTTTTAGTGTGCGTGTGGCCAGAGGTACATGGAGAATCACGCAGCCTTGTACGACCTATAGATCGCAGCCAGACCTCTCGCCGTCTGCCTTATCGTCCGCCCAAAACCCTTACACAAACCCTATTTTTCGATGGTGTTCGAGTTTACTCTTATCACAGACACCCGCTTCACACGCGCGTTTTTTGGTCGTCCTACCTTTCGCTCCTCCCTCCCTACTTCCCACCACCCAGACGGAAAAGTCTCTCCTTGTTGTCTTGCCTCTCCGTCCTCTGACACCCAGCAAAAGAGTTCGGATTCCTACGTGCATGTCTCACAGTAAGACACTGAAAAAAATAAGAAAGTTACAGGCACGTGAGTTTCTTGTGCTGTCCTCAATTTTCGAAAAAGTGACGGTCCGATTTACCTACCTTTTTTCCCCTCCATTCAATAGAGGCGATCTGCCTGTGACTGCCAGTAACCTGCCAATGTCAGTGATCTTTTGTCGTACCTCTAAAACTATCCTCAGTATGTCAAGTCCTCTTTCCTTTCGAGCCCCGCTCTACTGCTCGCTCGCCCGGGCGCTGCGTGCCCCGTGCGTGTGTGTTGATGTGTTGTGTGTGTGTGTGTGTGTCGTGTGTGTGGTGTGTTGTGTGTGTGTGTGTCGTCGTGTGTGTGTGTGTGTCGTGTGTGGTGTGTGTGTGTGTGTGTGTGGTGTGTGTGTTGTGTGTGGTGTGTGTGTGTGTGTGCTGTGTTGTGTGTGTGTGTTGTGTGTGTGTGGTGTGTTGGGTGTGGTGTGTGTGTGTGTGTGTGCACACTGCCTGTGCTTACCTACTTCGTTCGCTAACTTACACTCATTGAATTACCTACTGCAATGCATCTAGGATGCATCTCTCTTCTCCTTTCGTGTGTAAGTTTACCCTCTACAAGTTCACGACACCTTGCTCTTTTTGTGATCTTCGTCTACCAAATTGTCAATTCTCGTTCACTCGTAACGGTTTACTCTTCAGATACTCTTTTACTGCGGTGAAGAGCGGAGACGCAACTAAGTTAGATGGAGGCTCATTCGTAACAGTATTACTCAAAACTCAAAACATAACTATATAGTTACGTGATTTTAGTTTTTAAACTGTAAACTGTCTTGAATAACGTTTTTCGATCTGACTAAGAATATCCTTCCAGTACTCTTATTACCTGAGAGAGCATGAAGAGAGAACTGCAATGTGGAGATCAAACCTCTTCTTAATATTACTCAAATACTACAACTAAATGACCCATAATAAATTTTCAGAGAGAAAAATTTTCGATTTAATATTAGACTTTCGTGACCAAGTTGTAAATTTTCGTGACTTACGTTTTTATTCAGACTAACATATCTTCAGATACTTTATAACTGGGAGCTGAAAATGTCTATTGTAAAAGTATTACTCAAATACCCACACCTCACGTATGATTGAAATAATTTCCTTGTAAGTAGTAAAATAATTACTGTACGAAACTAAAATTTTTAAGACGTTTCTTCGATGTCGATAGTTAAGTACATCGAACTCGTGTTATCAATTTGCACCCTGGGCATAGCGTACGATAAGAAATCCGTTATCGTCATCGAGCATCTATATGTGATCTCTATATATTTTCTGCTGTACGGCCACTTCACACAACGAATTTCCTCATGTTCGTCTAGTGCGTAAGACTCCGGGTCGAGTCACTCAGGGATCGATACCACGTGAAGGACAACGCTATCACATGCAGTATAGCTCGCGCTCCCACCTAGTGCGCACCAACGGCGCGCGCACCAACATCCTCTAAACCCCATCCCCTCTTTCCTCCAAAATACAAAGACTTGCGACGCATGAAGGAGGCTGTGGTGGCCCCCTGTGCACAATTCCGCAGGGTACAGCTACGCAACCAAGACACATAATGGGCGAGGGGGAACACACAATACTTCCCAAAAAGACGTACATTTCGCCAGACCGTCTTCAGTTTACCGCACGCTTCTCCATTGTCGGCACATCGCCTTCATTTCGCAGATTGTGTATTTTCATGGAGGGCTTCTTGCCGGCAGCGCCAACTATGCCGCTAACGTAAGCCTAAAGGGCACAGGCCCATGGCCGTACCTACAGCCTACGCAATGCGGCCCTTGTTTACCCTCGGTTGCGCACCTCGGCCAACGCACCGCGCTCGGAATGACTTGGCGGCGACCCTAACCAGCGTTTAACTGGTTCAGGCGTGCCCTGAGCGAGCGCGTCTCCTGGACCACGCCTCGTCGAGACGACTACGAGCACCGCGCAGCGACGACGCTCCCGACTATTGTCCTGTCAACCTCTACGCCCGTTCTCAGACGACGACGTCTGGGCCTAATGAAGTGTCGCCAAACTAGTTGGAAAAGAATGAGTTATAGTTTGTGTGCTCCCACAAAATGACCAGCGACACTGAAACACACACGAGTCCCCCACTAACACGACACCAAAGGCACAGCGCAATTTGTTCCTTTTNTAAAACATTTTACGTAGGAGTTTTTTCTTAAAAGTTATTCACAAAGCCGCTGAGACCTACTCATACTAAGGATAAATCACTAAGAGTGAACTAAGAGTGACGCGCCGTTGCTATGGATGACGTCGATTCTCGTGCATGAGTTTAGAAGCGGTCAGTACGGTGATTGGTTGTTTAGAGCAGGCGGTCTCGGTGAAACTCATCCGCAACATCCCACACACGAGCCCACTAAAACAAGGAAATAGCCTCGGCTAGAAATGTATTCCTATCAAATAGTTGTGGACAGTGCAGTTAGCAGAATACACACATGATGACAAGTTTGTGCAGACCACGATAATGACGTTGTATATGCACGTTAAAGGGAGAGAGCAAACAATACAAATACGTAAATTGCATTAAATCGAGGAGGCAATTAAAAGCACCCTGCAAACTATTATCCAATGAGCATATTTCCAGCACTTAAACACTTTCAATAACAGCCCATACCGCCGTTCAAGTCCCCCTATCATGATGAATGAAAACAATCTGCGTGTTGATGGAATGTAGGCTACTTTCTTTCTATTGACGAACACGTCCTCATCTTTTGATGGCGCAATTATTTTTATGTGCGTCCCGTCAATAGCACCGACCACACCGGGCATACCTGCAATTGCCATGAAGTTGGCTTTGATCCTGTGTAGTTGTTGATTGTCCAAAGGAAACCGGATAAACTGTTGGATGATATGTGGTCTAGAGAGCGCGTTGATGGTTTGGTTTATGGCACAGCTGACTGATGGTTGCGATATTCCTAAATCGTCGGCATTGCAAAGTTGCATTTTCCCTGTTGCTAAATATCGTAGTGTTGCCAAACATTTTATTTCCGGACTAATCGGGTTATTCCTGTTAGTCGGGGATGTTATTGCATCCTGTACTAATTCCACAACAAGTTTGATACCCTCACGATTTTGCCTATATCTCTTGATCAATTCACAGTCTTCCATTGTCTCCAAAACATTTCGTCTCGCAGCCATTTTCAGATTCTTTGTGAATAGGTCTTACTGAGTTAGGAGTCCTCTCGAGGACTTTTAAGCTCTCCTAAACTTAGGTGCTACATTTAGGCCTAAAATACTTTGTGAATTGCTCTTAGTGAATAAAATTAGGAGTCCTAAATTTAAGACTGACACGCCCATTATGTTTAGGAGTTTCTCTTAAATTCGCCAGTTAGGAGCTACTTTTAGCCCTAAGATCCTTTGTGAATACGGCCCCAGGTCTCTAGTAATTGTGTGCTCAAAGTGCACCAGATTGAAGCATTTTACTTTAAAATGTTCAAAAAAATCTTCTCGGGGGGGCATACCCCCGGACCCCCCTAGAGGATGAGACGTCCACTCCTCAATTCAAACATGTTCATACAATACTGAATACATTTGAAACCATTTTGACGTATATTACTCTATGTCATTACTCTAGAACTAGAACCGGCCCTGGTACTAGGCCTCAAGAGTCTTTCTTGTGCTGGCAGACACATAGAAACAAATTGGTGGGGCGCACTTCGCACGTGCACACATTAAAAAATTCCACGCGCTCCGCACTCACATTATGCTGGACCCACGTGCCTTAGCACCGCTGCTATGACTCCATCCTAGGGGAAACACTGACATGTATAAAGTTTACCCATTTCTTCTCTATTTTATTTCTATTTTTGCATGTTGCATTGTTGGAGGAACCTGGGACTTTAGAATTTTAAAACAATGCTGTAGCTATTGTGCATGTGACAGTAAAGTCTTTAAATGTTGAATGAGACACACCACATGGTTGTGACAGCTGGATCCAGCTGTGGTTTTGCTTCCTTGCGCTCTGAGCTCACTGGGCTGGCAGCTGTCGTCGAGGTCCTCGTCGTTGAACAGCTCCTCTGTGTCCATGCCAATTGCCGCACCAATGTCCATACCCAACTTCTTCTGAAGGAGCTTTCTCTGGCGGGCCAGACGCTCCTTAGGGTCCATCTCAGCTGAGAAAAAGAAAACTGGATGTCAGAACAAGTACATGGTAGATGTGTGAGGAGTGCTGATTATGGTTCATTTTGGGCAGTAGGGAAGCTGGGTGACAAATGCTATCAGCAAAAGGAAATTCAAGAACAGTATGGTACTTTTTTTAATGTTTGATTAATTTTAATATACACTACTTTAGAGATTATAAGACACCCACCATTAAAAATGTGCTTAAAATCTGTGTTTAATTCAGACTCGTACACAGAAATCGCATATACACACACTCCTAACTGCCATGAGGTATAAAATATTTCATGGTACATAGATAACAATAAATAAAAGCAAAGTTATTAAAGGTGGGGTAGGTAATTCATTTCAGAAACACTGTTATATTCCATGGAATGCTCTTAACATCCCGATAGCAATGAATACATTAAATGCTATGACAATAAATATATCAGTGATGCAAACACAGGTATGGTTAAAAAAGAGAGAACTATTCGAAGCAGAAAAAAAACAGCGTAATATACCATCTGACAATGACAGATTTTTCTTTTTGGATATTTTACAAATCACTCTCCTTTTAAACTCTATTCTTGTTATTTTTAACAACTTTTTTGTTACTGTCATAGTATTTTATACCAGTCTTTTATTTAGTCTCATTAATAACTATAATGATCATATCAAGGTGTGCCTGAACCTCACTGAGCTGAGGTCATTTGAGCCTCTCAGGAGAGAGCTCTCTTCCACCTGGTTGTAGAAAAGCTCTTTAAATTCATTAGCATAGCTAGCTAACCAGATGCTAATAACAACAGATCGCCACTGTGCCTACAACTAAAGACACAGCCACGCAAACACTGCGGCATGGCTCCTTATGGGTACTGCAATATTTGAAGAGCTGGAGCAGCGTTGGTGCTCTCCGTCAGCACTAATTTCAGACGAGACATATACCACGTGAAGACAAAAAACAGAAAGAAGAAAAACAGGTACTCGCTTGTTTAATTATTTTTGCGGTCTAGATTTCTTCTTCTTTTTTTTGAAGAAGTTGGACTGACGGACGGACTCCCCCGCCGCTCCCCGCCCCCAAAACGAAAACTCTTCGGTTCTCTTCGGGCTTGAGAGAGGACTTGAGAGGGGACTTGAGAGGGAATTCGAGATGGAACTCGAGAGGTGACTTGAGAGGGACTTTGAGAGGTGACTTGATAGGGGACTCGAGAGGGAACTTGAGAGGGAACTTGAGAGGGGACTCGAGCAGTAGCGTGGCGTGGGGAAAAATGTAGGGGTGTCTCGGGCAGACGACCCGGGGGCAAGGCAGAGTCCATGGAGGGGGTCTCGGGCGGACGACCCGGGGGCAAGGCAGAGTCCATGGAGGGGGTCTCTGGCGGACGGCCCGGGGGGAAGGCAGAGTCCACGGAGGGGCGAAGGCCACAGCGGGCGAACTTAGGGGGCCGAGCATGAGGGCGAAGACCGCGGCACTCAGGGGGCCGGGCTCGAGGTGGAAGCAGGCGGCGACGGGACAGCTCCGGAGGCCGGGCAGGACCCGGTGTCGGCCGGACAGGAACCGGAGCCGGTGGGACAGGCTTCGGCAGGATCCCCCACGGAAGAGGACCAGGAGTTGGCAGGACCCCCGGCGAGACAGGAGACGGCGGGACCTCCAACGGAACAAGACAAGGGGTTGGCAGGACCCCCGGCAGAAGAGTTGTCGGCGGGACCCCCAGGGGACAGGACACAGGGTTGGCAGGACCCCCGGCAGAAGAGTAGTCGGCGGGACCCCCAACGGGACAGGAAATAGGGTTGGCAGGACCCCCAGCGGAACCTCCAACGGCACTTCAGTAGGGACTTGAGTAGGGACTTGAGTAGGGACTGGAGAGGGAACTCGAGAGGGGACTCGAGAGAGGACTCGAGAGGGGACTCGAGACGGACTTTGAGAGGTGACTTGAGAAGGAAGGGACTAGAGAAGGGACTTGAGTTGGGACTAGAGAAGGGACTAGGGAAGGGACTAGAGAAGGGACTAGGGAAGGGACTTGAGTTGGGTCTAGAGGAGGGACTAGAGGAGGGACTAAAGAAGGGACTATAGAAGGGACTTGAGGAGGGACTAGAGAGGGGACTAGGGGAGGGACTAGGGAAGGGACCAGAGAAGGGACTAGAGAAGGGACTCGGGAAGGGATTATGGCTGCTGGGGCCAGAACTGGGTCTGGAACCATGGCTGCTGGGGCCGGAACCATGGTCGCTGGGGCCAGAACTGGGGCCGGGACCATGGCTGCTGGGGCCAGAACCATGGCTGCTGGGGCCGGAACCAGGACCGGAACCATGGCCGCTGGGGCCGGAACTGGTTCTGGAACCATGGTTGCTGGGACCAGAACCAGGGCTGGAACCATGGCTCTTGGGGCTCGGGCTGCTAGCCTGGCCTGGCGACTCCTTCTTTTAAGAGCCGTTTGGAGGCTTTGTGGACCTCCAAAAGCCAGATGAGTTCCAGAGAACGGCTCCTGGACAGGAGCTGGGGCAGAAGCAAGGGGTGACTCCAAACGGACCACACCGATGCGTGTGGTGTCATAAAGGGAATTGGGAGGCAGGGAGCTAGCATGCCTGGGGCTAACAGGCAGGGGATAACACACCGAGAAGAAATTCAAAATCCAGCCAGGTAAGAATCTCACCAAGCCTGGTTTCTCCATAGTTATCTGGCGCGCCTCTGCCAGAGCAGCCTCTCGCTGCTGAACCCCGGACGCTCCCATCCATCGATCAGAGCAGGTAGCCAAAGAAAAGGAAAAATCCAACAATTCCTGCTGAAAAGGATCTGCTGGGCCCATATCTGGTTGGTTCGTACTGTTACGGTTGAGTGAAGGAAGCAGGACCCAAATGCAGATAACTCTGATTAACCTTTATTTTTTATTTAATGAAAATAACTTGGACAAAACAGAACACTCACCGGTGAACTCAGTCACAAACAAAAGACGGACCAACACTGAACACAGGAAGAGACAAATACAGGGAGGGGTAATCACAAGACGAGAAACAGCCGGGCAGGGGAGGAGAAACACAAGGGCGACAGGTGAACACAATCAGACAACTAGACACATCAGGGAAACTAACGACAGGAGGAAAACACAGGAAGAAGGACCAGACAATATACAAGGAGGAAAACACCCATAACAAGACATACAAAACTACAACCGTGACAAATCATAAGAATCCTGACAGTTATACACACACTACTGTTACACACACACTACTGTTACACACACTACTGTTACACACACTACAGTTATACGCACACTACTGTTACACACACTACAGTTATACACACACTACTGTTATACACACACTATACTGTTATACACACACTACAGTTAAACACACACTATACTGTTATACACACACTACTGTTATACACACACTACAGTTATACACACACTACATTTATACACACACTATACTATTATACACACACTACTGTTATACACACTACAGTTATACACACACTACTGTTATACACACACTATACTGTTATACACACACTATACTGTTATACACACACTACAGTTATACACACACTACAGTTATACACACACTACTGTTATACACACACTATAGATAT